AAGTGAAATAAAAAATAGAAAAACAGGGCTGGGAAGTTGGCTCAGTGGTAGAGGGCTTGCCTTGCATGCCTGAGGCCCTGGGTTCGATTCCTCAGCACCACATAAGCAAAAAGAATAAAGCCGGAAGTGGCGCTGTGGCTCAAGTGGTAGAGTGCTAGCCTTGAGCTGAAGAGCTGAGGGACAGCGCTCAGGACCAGAGTTCAGGCCCCACGACTGGACCCCCCCCCAAAAAAAGAAAAACAAACAATAAAATCAAGAGTTTGTTCATTGAAGACATGAACAAAATGGACAAAAGAAAAAAAAGACAGAAATTTGTACTGGAAAACTCATTCATTTTTACATAAATAAAAGTGATGATAAGATATTACTGTAAGTTGTTATATGACAACAAATTACATGAAATGACAAATTCCTAAAACATATAATTTGTTAAGCTGACTTAAACAGAAATAGAAAATGTCAAGAAACCTGTAACAAGTAGTGAGATAGTCACTAATCCAAAACAAGATCTAGACCAGATGGATTTATTGGTAAATTCTACCAAATACTTAATAATGAACACCAACTACTCTCAAACTACTTCAGAAAACTGAAAAGAAACACTTTCAGACTGGGATGTAGCTCAGTGGCAAAATGCTTGCTTAACAAGTGCCATATCCTAGGTTCTATCCCCAGTACAAAAAAAAATCAGAAAAGAAAGAAAAAATACAGTTAAAAATTTTTAAGAGAAAAGAAACAGTTGTAAGTTTTGTATGGAGTCAGTGTTATCTTGGTATAAACTCCAGAAAAAAATTCTCAAAGGAAAAAAATCATAAACCAATGTATTTTTATTAATGTTAACTTTAAAGCCCAGAACAAAATACTAGCAAGCTGAATCTTTTTGGATATTAATGAATTGTGATTTATTCCAAGAACAAAAGAATAGATTAACACAAGCAAATTAATACAATATTCCACATAGAACAAAGGAAAAAACCTACAATCATCTCAATTGTGTATAAAAGCAACTTGATACAACCTAAGATTTTCTCATGATTAAAAATATGCAGGACAGGGCTGGGAAGGTGGCTCAGTGGTAGAGTGCTTGCCTTGCAAGCCTGAGGCCCTGGGTTGGATTCCTCAGCCCCACATAAGCAAAAAGAAAAAAGCTGGAAGTGGCGCTGTAGCTCAAGTGGTAGAGTGCTAGCCTTGAGCTGAAGAGCTGAGGGACAGTGCCCAGGCCCAGAGTACAGGCCCCACGACCGGACCCCCCAAAAAAATGTGCAGGACACTGGGCTCTGGTGGCTTATACCTGTAATCCTAGCTACTTAGCAGGCTGAGAAATGAGATTCATGGTTTGAAACAAATCCAGATAGGAAAGTCTATACTATTTTTATCTCCAATTAAACATCAAAAAGCCAGAAGTGGAGCTGTGACCCACATGGTAAAGTGCTAGCTTGGAGCAAAAAATGCTCGAGGATAGCATCAAGCCCCAAGATTGGTACACACACCCACACCCACACACACACACAAATATCTAGGACAACATTAATTGAATATCTTCAGTTTAATACTGAAGATATTCAGTGTGTGTGTGTGTGTGTGTGTGTGTGTGTGTGTAAAATCCATAGCTAGCAAAGTAGCAGGGTATAAAATTAACTCTCAAAAATCAATGGCTTTTCTGTATGCCAACAATGAGAAGAGAGCGGCTGAAATCAGGAAAGCAACTCCATTTGTAATAGCCCCACAAAAAATAAAATACCCAGGAATTAACTTAGCTAAAGAAGTGAAGAACCTCTATGATGAAAACTTTCAAAACCTGAAAAAGGAAATCAAAACAGAACTTAGAAAGTGGCAAAAACTCCCATGCTCCTGGATTGGAAGGATCAACATGGTGAAAATGGCAATACTTCTCAAGGCTATCTACAAATTCAATGCGATACCTATCAATATTCCAACCTCATTCTTCAAGGAAATAGAAGAGGCAATCCAAAAATTCATATAGAACAATAAAAGACCCCGAATAGCAAAAACGCTCCT